TTGAACTTAGAGAACAAATGATTACCTTAAGCTTGCCACAAATTGAATGGTGGAGACATTTATGTTGATAACGTATTATAAAATAAGAGGAAAAGTAACAAGATGACAGACAAAAGAGAGAGTTTCTTATTTCACCATGTACTCTTCTATGTACAAATCATACAAACTTATAGGCCTATATATAGGCTAAGGGATATGTGGGGGTTACATTAGCCATTGAATAGGACTAAATAAGAGAATGAATGGCATCTTAATAGACTCTTGAATGACAGCTTAATGACCCTTTGAATGGCCTTCAGTGGGATCATGAATGACCCCTTAATGGTGAAGAATGACCCCTTAATTATGAGTTACAATGTGGAAGAAGATGACTGTGAAGGTGAAGCATTCACCAATACGAAAAATTTACAATAAAATTTAAATTTTCCTCACAGCACATATCTTCCTCTACAAACTCTATAAATTGCTTGTTATATTAAATAGCAAAATACAACACCCTGTGTAGTGGGGTGTTGAGTGCTAGTAAGTTTCAATACCAAAAATTCTCTGAAATCAGCTTCTCAGTCTCCATCATATTTGTTATAATTTCAGACCCATACCTAAAACACCCTGCTAGTCTGCCCCGTTTTTGTCCAAGAATTGAACTTTGAAAATTCTTATAAAATCTTAAGTCGCCACAAATGTAAAACCGACATACAATATCAAGGAACCAAAACCCCGTGGAAGTAGATGTGCATTCTTCTGTAACTGATCTGACAGTCCATGAAATAAGTGAAACAGATAATTCAGGATCAATTTGCATAAAGAAGTTAAAACCCATGGGAAGGACATGGAGATGTGAAGACACTGGTAAGAAGCTTATATATAACGAAGAGTTATATATAACCTAGAAAGATTTACAAAATAACAAAGATTTTTTAAACGTAAAGAAAAGGAAAAAGAAGCTTACTTTTTAGCTCCTGGAGACGCGAAGACACTGGTAAAACAAGAGGAGAAAGGTCTTTGTTTTGTTTTCCATATATGGGAAGGACTTTCCCATTTTTCTCTTTAACAAAAATATGGTTTTTAGCATGAATTGTATTTTTTGTGCTTTTAAATACTGAAATTATTTAAATATTTTTAATAAAATTGTTCCACGTTTATTTATTAATAATATTTCTATGATTTTACTATAAAAACTATATTTTTTAGGTGGATAATAATGTGTGCACACCCGAATCCCACACCCGGGTGTGCACACACCATATAAACAAAAAAAAAAACCCATCACCCGGTCCAACTTTTTTTTTTGGTATGTGGGGGGTGCACACACGGGTGTGGGATCCGAGTGTGCACCAATCAGTGTCATTTTTAGGTACAGTACAGACTTCATGGTTTGGTGATGTATTAGGTAGAAAATCGTAATTGGAGACTCTATTTTAAGTGCAATACAGAAAAATAAATAAATGGCTAGTGTACCATAATTCTTTGCTCTCAGTTTCGTATTCCATATGCATAAAGAATTCAAGATTTGATTATTTCTTTGATTATCTCTCACTATCTCACTTCAATGCTCAATGTTATTTGATATATTTAACTTAACAACGATTCATTGATTGATAAATTTTTTTTACAACTATTTATATATAAAAAAAATGCATATCATTTCACATGTCTTATAAAAACCACATTGAAACTATAATAAATTATTTTATATAATCAATGATTTGTTGATTTAAGTGGAAGAAAATCAATTTCCTTTAAATAAGGTCTTGAATTTAAGTTTTGTAAATAAAAAAATAAGCGTTGTAAGAGTTTCTCTTCCATAAAATCCGATACGATTCAACTCCGAATTAATCAAAATCCAATATAACTTTTAAATAGGCAAAAATATGACATAAGGACCCGAATTTACACAAAATTCGTAATTTTGGACACGAACTTCAATTGCACTCAATTAAGGTCCCGAACTACATGCAATTATCAAATAAGATCCTAATTGGACGGAAAACTAACTTCCATCAAATCTCCTACTAACTCTATTAATATCTATAACACTCCAGTGATTTTTTCATGTTAATTAACGGAAAAGCACAATGTGTAATTTTTACATGAAAAATTGTCAACTGGACAAGAATAAATGACTTGGCTAAAAATTTTGCATGTCCACATAATATTTCAACTCATCCCAAAAAAAAAAAAAAATTCCTTTTTCTTAGTTTTTTTTTCCTCTCTTTCTCCTTTCCCTTTCTCTTTTCTCTTCCTTTCTTCTTCCCATTCAACTTCCATTGGGTTCTTGAACCTAGCGAACCAAGGAACCCAGCTGGGTTCCTTTTTTTTTTTTTTTCCTCTCTTTCCTCTTTCTTCTTCCCTTTCCTTTTCCCTTTCAACTTCTGCTGGGTTCTTGAACCCAACAAACCTAGGAACCCAGCAACTGATGGGTTCTTCTCGAACCCAGCAGCTGGTCGGGTTCAAGAACCCAACGACTGTTGGGTTCAATCGGGTTTTCCTAGTTAGTGGGTTCATGAACCCAGCAAATCGGGTTCTTCCCAGTTGGGTTTGAGAACCTAGCTGGGTTCCTAGGTTCGCTGGTGCAAAAAGGGAAAAAGAAAGGGAAAAGAAAAGACAAAAAAAAAAAACAAAAAAACAAAAAAAAACAAAAAAGGATTTCCTCAAGGTTTAATTAATGAGTTCTTTATCCTCTCATTTACGTAAAAGCATGTGTTCCATCCCTATTAGCTTAATCTAGCCTTGCAGAGGTCATAAAGTTGGTGCAGAACCGTCTCCATATCCATCTTCAATCTCTTCGACTCCTACAGAAGATTGGTAGGAAATTGCAAAGAGGTAAGAATGAAGGATGAGAAAATTTTCAGATCTGCTTGCATTTTGAGAATGAGGAATGAAGCATGTTAAAATTAGGGATTTGATCCCTATTTCATGGGAATCCTTGGTTAGAAAGACCAAAAAGCCCACCAGTGGGTTCCAGTTGATTGTGGAGTTAAAAATTTATCTCCACATAGCATGTACATGGAAAAGTAATTGACATGTCAACATAATTTTTTTCCAATTGTGTTACCGTTGGTGGAGTGTGATGAACATTAACGGTGTTTGTAAGAGATTTAACATAAGTTAGTTTTCCGTCCAATTGAGACCTTATTTGAGAATTTCGTGGAGTTTGAAACCTTAATTAAGCGCTGTTGAAGTTTGGGTCTAAAATTGTGAATTTTGTGTAAGTTTGGGTCCTTATGTCATATTTTTGCCTTTCAAATATAAGAGGTCAACACAAAAAAAAAAAAAAAAATCAATCTTTCATATAACAAAAAATCAATCTTTCATATAACAAAATATCACATCAGCAATATACTTATCAACTAATTATAATTAAATAATTAATGAATTATAAATGCATTACTTCATTAGTTTATTTTTTTAATAGTTTTAGTTTGACTTTTTAACTTTTTAAATATGAATTTTAAATAAAAATTTAATATATTATATAAGTAATAATTAAATTTTTTTTTGTTTAAATTAAAATACTCAACAAGAACTTTATGAAGGATACAAATTGTTAAATTTTTATATATTCAAGAATTAAAAAGGTTAAACAAAATTTATTAAAAGTGACCAAAGGTAATAAATTCTCTTAATGACAAATGAGGCCACATTTGTTGATATGTTGCTATATTAATGGACAATAATTCTCTTAACATAGTATCTTATTATGAAAAAAGGAAAAATCAGGAAGTTTTTGTATTAAAAATGTCAACATGTCTAATCACAACTATTAAATGTGTGGGATATAATATGATCCCTAATTTAATCAAATTTATCATGTGGTTATTATTAGATATTTTAATTTTTTTCATTTCTCATCTTATTATACAAAAGAATTTCTTGCTTCAAAACTACCCTAAAAATTGACATTAAATCATTTTTCATTTTTTATTGAGTACTTGGCAAATCAAACTATTGTCCTTCAAAGATGGCTACCTGTTTTCGGTGGGAAGAAGATAACTGTTCCCACCGTTATTGACTTATTTGCTGATCATCTCTGTATTTTCCTCTGTTATCATTTCCTATGTGTTATTGATTACTTGCAGCTGGTAGATTCTCATTAAAATAAAAAATAAAAAATAAAAAGTCACTAGAGTCCAATCCAAGATGATTTGGGAATATTAGGGTATGTTTCGTCCCGTTGAAACTTTTGTTTACGAGCATTGTCTTGTCAAGTTATGAGATGACAAACATGATCAGCAATAATTGTAATGTATGGGAAATAATTTTGGTGTGAAATCAAACTTTTTTTTTTTTTTATGAGAGTAATGGTTAGAAAGTTAGTATAAGTTAGTTGTTAACAACTGGTTTTCAGACCGAGTAAACATTTCACCTTCTCAAATGAGGCGTGTGGCAATCAATCTGCTTTTTGGTGGAGTTCACGACGATGATGAAACTCGAAACTCCAAACTCCAATCACCTTACCCAAACACTTAAAATTTGGGATCAAACCATTGAACCTAAAGTTCTGGTTCGTGAAATCAAACTATTGTTCTCCATAGATATGGTTATCTGTCTTCGGTAGGTAGACTATAATTGTTTGCACGGTTATTGACTTATTTGTTAATTGGATTTGATATATTCTTTAGTTAATCGTATTAAATAATATATTTATTTTAAAAATTATTATATCTAATATAAAAATAAAAATAAATAAATTTAAAAATATAATTATACATATATAATATAAGAATTAATTTAATTAATTATATTTGTATTATATTTTAATGAATAAACTATATAATTAACAAAAAAAAAAGTATTAAAACAGATAATGTGTAAATCATTTTCTTTATTGATTACCTCTGTCATTTCCTTTGTTATCCTGTGCAAGTAGAAATACCAAGTGCGAAACTATGAAATTATAATACCTTTGAAATTGATACAATTTATCAAAATAAGAAATTTAGGCCGCAAAAGTTTCATTTTAAAATCATAGATTCATTTTTATTATTATTTGATAGGTTCAAACCTTACATGTTTTATACTAGCCAAAGTGCCACAATATGTAGTTTTTGGTACATGTGCCACAATCTAGTAGTACTAGTAGTATGGTAAAGATAAAAACATGCTTTAAGACTCATATCTTACATGGATAGAGGTTTGAAGATAACAGGGAGACCGTGTTGAGGCTGTAAGGTAAGGTTGTCAACTGGCGTATGTTTGTACTCAGGGGATACAGAGAAAGAAAACCTCTGGAGAATCAAGGCAAGCACAGTCTTGGCTTCCAACATTGCAAAGTTCTGTCCAATACAAGCCCTTGGGCCAATTGAGAAGGCAAGCAGAGCATTTGGGTGTTTTGCTGCTTTGGATATCCCATTCATGAATCTCAGAGGATTGAACTCACTCGCATCTTCTCCCCAGCATTCTTTGCTTCTGTGCATTTTGATGAGTGGAATTACTAAAAGTGTACGCTTTGGAATCATTAAATTCTCCAATGTCATGTCCTCTGATGCTTCTCTAACCATGGCTATTACTGGGCCATACAGCCTCAGGGCCTCCAGAAGAACCATGTGCACCTATGAATTAAGATGATTGTAGGAATCAATATTATTGGAGATTGAGGCAATTCTTTGAGAAGAAAACAATGTATAATCTTATGAAATTAGTGAGTATCAGCTTATATTGTAAAAAATTAAATAGAAAAATATTTCAAAAACAAATCATTTTAATAAAACATTATAAGAAAAGATTAAAACAACTTCATTATATTTTAAAAATCGAAATATTTCAATTTTTTCAATTGAGTTTTATTAAAATGATATAATTTTTTTGTAATACAAGCTTATAACTATATTTTTTTTTTAACCTATTACCAGTTTCAGCTTGGCCAGCATATCTGTATCCGGGGTTTCTGTCCCACACTCCTCCAACACCTCCTCCCTAAGTTTCGTCTGCCATTCATGATGTTTGCTTAACAAGAACATTGTCCAGGTTAACAGGTTGGAAGTGGTCTCATGCCCTGCAAAAAAGAATGTTTTGCATTCATCCACGATTTCATTCATGTTCAACTTGAGGTCTCCTTTATCTTTTGTGGTTTCTAAGGCTGCAATCATCACACCAAGTAAATCATCTCCAAAACAACATTCTGGGGAACTGCCATTGAATGTTCTGGAATTCTGCAGTCTGCTCTCAACGATCTGCGTTAGTAATCTCTTCATTTTCATATCAAGCTTCCATATCCGAAGATTAGATGGAGTAGGAAGATATCTAAAAGAAAACAACCGAAGACCAAATGTTCAAAGTGCTCTTTATCAAAGAAGAAAATTGTGTTAGAAAGTCTGATATTTACTTACTGGCTGCCAGGGATGAAGATGTCAGAACTTGAAGCTGCACCCCACTGTTGAAGCTGTCTTTGTGCCTGAAATACCTCTTTTCCTTCCATAAAGTTACTTCCAAAGGCGGTATGGGCTATTATGTCAGCGGTGAGTCTTTGAAATTCTCCATTCATCTCTTTCTTTGTGCATCTGTCCCTGGCCCTGATAGATTGATCTTTCCACTCTTCAAGCATGGGGCTGGTACAAGCTACCATTCTCTTTACCATTCCCTTGAGCTTATCGACGGAGAAGGCGGGGTTGATGATTCTTCTGTGCCTAACCCAGTCCAATCCTTCAACGAATATAAGTCCTCTCCCTATAATTGTCAATAATGTGGGCCTGATTCCAGGTTTCACATAGAAGCCAAACTTGTTTGATAGTATTTGTTTGGCCATTTCAGGGTCAGAAATGCAGAGATTCGGTTCTAATCCTTGCCAATACAAAAAAGTTTCTCCTGTAACATCAGAATTTGATGAACATCAATTAATACACTCCGTTAAGAGAGGTACCCATAGAACTAGTAGGACCAAAGGTTCGGATGAAAAAAAAAAAAAAAATAGTCGATAGATAAAAGATGAGAAGAAACTAATTAACCATATTCTGAGGACCATCTGTGGAAGTGTGGAAGAACACGCTGAACAATATCATTTGAATCTAAGTCAAGAATCGTTTTTGCTGCGGCCTTTTTCATCCTCTTTATCTCATCAAGAGAACCATTGAGAGGCTTGTAAGGTGGACCAACAATTCCTTGCTTCTTGAATCTTCTAGTCAAGGAATATGGCCACAAGAAAACAACCCAGAGAACTTGCAGTAGCTTTGAGACCACGAACAAGAACAGAATCATCAAAGCAGCCATGCCAAAAGTTGCAACAGAGACCATTTTGAGAAGAAAAATGATGTGTGCACACCCGGATTCAACACCTGGGTGTGCACACATCATATAGAAAAAAAAATATCCAACAGCCGGTCCAGTTTTTTTTTATGTGGAGGGTATACACCCGGCTGTTGGATCGGGTGTGCACCAATCATAGCCCTTTTAAGAATTCTGGTTGTACAACTACTACCTCAGATATTTTAGTGTACCTCACATATTTCTTTGAGTTAGCGTATATATGCTCATGTAGTGACTGATTTTATCTGTACACGGATTCAAGGACAATGGTTGCATGGGGCTGCCTCATGTACCAATATGACGTAATTGCTTAGTCAACAATTTTCATACTGTAGTTACTACTGTAGACCTGTTATTGCATAATACAGCTATTTTCGGGTGCTGTAGTTTGGTTTAAAATCTCTGTCCCTTTTACGTGCTAGACTTTTTTTCTTTGAAAATAGGTAATGGTGCTAGACTGATTATAGCTTGCCTTGTCTGCTTGTCACTGATATTTTCCGCCAATTACTTTCTTTGGGGTGACATACTTTGTCATTTAGTTAAACATATTAATCTTTGCATGTCATGTTCTTTTGCAAATCTAAAGAAGTTTCTATTTTTTGTTTGCTTCACGCAATGAAATGAAATATGGAATACTTAATGTTTTTTCTTTGATATTTATGGTTAAGAGTATTCATCAGTACATTTTGAAATTAATTTTTTATGATTAATTTAAAAGTATGTTCTTATATTAATTTAATATATTGAAAAAATTAATTTTTTTAATTATTAATTTTAAATTTTAAATCTAAACTTAATTTATAAAATAATATTTACTTATTACTAGATTAAATTATTGAGGTGAGAAAACCTTTTAATGTTAGGTCGATGGAATCGTTATATCAAATTAAAATAAATTAAAATAATTAGAGATCAAAGCGCCGTAGGGAATACTCATTCCATAGATGAAACAATTTTCTTCAGCAAGTTGAAAGAAAGACAGAATACGTGCTCATTTATGAAAAAAACAAGTTGTTACTCAATGACTTATTATTTAGTTACTAAAGAATTTATTTCTCATTTTATTGATTAAAATTTTATTTTTTAAAAAAAATTAATAAAGAGATAATTGTTCATAAATTTTTTGATCTTAGTATTGATGGACTATTTTTTACCAAATTAAAAAGAGCTTTGTTGGAAATAGAAAAGAAGAATAATAATTTGAAAAAATGTTTATTGCTTTCTTGAATAATACTATATGTACAATAACTTATATATAGGTGTTTACAAAAAGAATATTCTAAGGTATAAAATATACGAATGAATATTCTAAAGTATAAAATATTTACAATAATTTTGAATATAATTGTGTTCACATCTTAACATCCCCATTCAAACTCAAGGTAGTTGTGATGAAATCAACTTGAGTTTGGAAAGAAGAGTACGAAAGTGCCCAAAAAAATGAGTCTCGGTAAAGAGGTCTGTTAGTTGATCAGTGGAGCCAATGAAAACCGAATGAACAATTCCTTGGGCAACTTGATGGCGAACAAAGTGACAATCAACCTCAATGTGTTTAGTGTGTTCATGGAAGACATCGTTAGAGCAATCTATATAGCACTTTGATTATCACAATATAAATCAGTAGAAGAAGGTTGGGGAATGCTCATATCTTTAAGAAGCCACCGTAATGAAAGAAGTTCTGATGTGGTATCACCAAGAGCTCTATGCTCAGCTTCAGTACTAGAGTGAGATGGAATAGTTTGTTTCTTACTCTGTTAAGAGATAGGAGAATTACCAAGAAAAAGGCAATAACCAGTGGTAGATCTACGATTGAAAGGATCACTAGCCCAATCAACATTGGAGTAAGCGCGAAGCACAGGGGAGGAGTTGGCAGAAAAATGGAGTCCATGAAATAAAGTTCCCTTAACATATAGAATAATACGAAGTCCTACTACATAATGAATGGAATGAAGAGCAGCCATAAACTGACTAACAATGTGAACTACATATGCTATATCAGGGCATGTCGCGGTAAGATAAACCAAACTACCAATCAATTGCTGATAAAAAGTAGGATCAAAAAGTGGAGAGCCATCCATAGGTGTAAGCTTGACATTAGGTTCAATAGGTGTAGAAACACTCTTACCATCGTTGAGTTCAGCTTTAGAAACAAGATCAGAGGCATACTTTACTTGAGAAAGTAGGTAGCCATCATCTGAAAGGGTGACTTCAAGCCCTACAAAATAGCTTAGAACACCAAGATCTTTCATCTCAAATCTCTTACTGAGAGATTGTTTTAGCTCTTCAACACCTGCAACATCATCTCTAGTAATAATCATATTATCAACATAAAGAAGTAAAAGAACCATACCCTGAGCAATCTTACGAATGAATAAAGCCGTATCATGTGGACTGGAAGTAAAACTAAACTCACTCACAATAGCACTAAACTTTGCATACCAAGCTCGAGAAGATTGCTTCAACTCGTATAATGCACATCGTAATTGGCATACCTTGTTTGGAGGATGGTTGAGCCCAAGGGGTGGTTTCATATAAACTTCTTCTTCTAGGTCACCATTAAGAAAAGCATTTTTCGCATCCATCTAAAATAATTTCCATCTTCGTATAGCAACGATAGTAAGCAAACTACGCACAAATCTAAGATGATCAACTAGAGCAAATGTTTCCTCATAGTCTACTCCATACTCCTGTGTAAAACCCTTGGCAACCAAGTGTGCCTTATAAGGCTCCACAGAACCATCAAATTGTGTTTTGATCTTGTACACCAATTTACAGCCTATTAGAGACTTGTCAACAGAGAGATCAACTAAATTCCATGTACAAGTGTTCTCAAGAGCCTGTAATTCATCTTGCATAGCTTGTTGCCAAAGAGAGTTAGAAAAGGCCTCTTGATAGGATTGAGACTCATGTAAAGAAGTAATAACAAGAAAACAATGATAATCACAAAGGTAGCTAGGAGGGTTTCTTACTTGAGTAGGATGACTCGAGGATGGGACAACATGCTCATTTTTAGACTCAACAATATCAAATGCAACATCAATAAGTGATACAAATGAGGAAGTAGAAGATGGCTCAAAATTATCTAATGCATTACTAGCAAGCAAATCATCTTCTATAGAACTAGTTGGAGCATGTGGTGAGGCATTGTAGAGCTCATCAAATGTACCTGCTTTAGAATCACTAGGAAATAGCTCAATAGAAGGATTAGTAAAAAATGGAGGTTGATGAGAGGATGACACTTTGAAGTTTGACAATGATGAGAACTTACTATGTTCCCAAAAGACAGCATGACATGAAACTTGGACTTTTTGTGACACAAGATCCTAACAACGATATCCTTTTTATGTAATCCCATAACCCAAAAAACAACATAATCGAACTCTAGGCTCTAACTTGTTATGTTCATGATGTGGAAGAAGAACAAAACATGCACAACCAAAAACCTTAGGAAGATTATAGGCAAGAAGAATACCATATAAATGCTCGTATGGAAACTAGTTATTAAGAACTGATGATGGAATGCAATTAGTAAGATAAACAATTGTAAGAGCAACCTCACCCCAAAATCGCTCTAGACAAGACAATGAAATGAAAAGAACACAAATAGAATCAAGGATGTGTTTGTGTTTGCGTTTGTGTTTGCGTTTGTGTTCAGCTTGCCCATTTTGTTCAAAAGTATAAGGAAAAGATTGTTGTGTCAGTGTACTCTATTCTTTCAAAAAGGATTGAAGTTTAGTACCAAGATATTCAGTAGCGTTATTAGTTCTCAAAACTTTGATAATTTTAGAGAACTGAGTTTTGACCATGGTAGCAAAATCAATATAAATTTGTGATAATTCAGAGCAATTTTTCATAAGGAATATCTAGGCAAAATGAGTATGATCATCAATAAATAACACAGAGTACTTGGAACCCCCCATGGTGGGTGTAGGAGATGGACCCCAAACATCAAAATGCACGAGATCAAAAGGAGCAATAGAATGAGAATGACTACTCAAAAAAGATAAAGTTGGTTGCTTTGTAGATTGACATGACACACAATGCAAGGATTTATTTGGAACTGATCCTAATAAACCACGAGAGATAAGTGGATGAAGCTTACCAACTGAGGTATGTTCGAGCCGTGACTACCACAAATGGAAAGGAGAAACATTAGTGGCAACACAAACTTGCAAAATTTGTTGGTATGAAATTTGTAAAGACTCTAATTCAACAACACAAAGCAAGGTTTGGATGAATCGATCATTTGGAAATGATGGTGTATTCATTTTATTATTATGAATATGCAGATAGTTGAGCTCAAACAAATGCCCCACTTTACAACCAATTTTAAGAAGTTATCTTGTTCGTGGATTCTGCACATGACAACCATGAGCAAAAAATTTTACTTCAAGACCAAGATTGCATAATTGACCAATAGATAGAAGATTATAACTAAGTTTTGGAACTAAGAGGGCATTTGGTAAAGTCAACAACTTTGTAGAAATATTGCTAATGTGACTAACATTCATAGGGGAACCATCAACATAATAAATATCAGGAAAGGAATTATTTGGTGACATTGAAGAGAAATAAGCAGTAATTCAAGACATATGGTTACAACAACCAAAAAAAAAAAAATACCAAGGTTTGGTACCTGGAGCGATAGATAAGGTGGTAGAAGCATTAAAAAGATTTAATATCACCTGTTTTAGGTATTCAAGGTTAACATTAGGTTGGTTTATCACTTCTTTGACAACCATAGTAGTAGCAGGATGAATTACAGTTCTTTCAAAACTTGCCATAGAATCAGTAAAAATCACAATACTAAAAAAGTCCAAAAAAAATATGAAGAAATAAATGCCTAGATCAAAATAACAAACCAACAAAATACCTCAAAAAAGGTCTAAGAATGGAAGATAAACAATCCAATATATAGGAGAAGAGATTCCAACAACAAAGTTTCAGATCTAGAATGGAATAAAAAATCCAACTCCAAAACTCAAACAATGATGATAAGAGAAAAAAACCATGAGCTTATTGCTTTGATACCATGTTGGAAACAAAAAAGAAGAAAAATAATTTGAAGAAATGTTTATTGTTTTCTTGAATGATACTATATGTATAATGACTTACATATAGGTAGTTACAAGGAAAATATTTTAATGTATAAAATATACAAAAAAATATTTTAAAGTATAAAATATTTACAATAATTCTGAATATAATTATGTTCACATCTTAACAAGCTTGATCTTAAAATACTTGTAAACTAATTTAAAAACACCCTAATTGCTAAAAAAATTTTAAAAATATATGTTAAGATTCTTAACCATTCCTTCAATTTTCTAACTCATTGAGAAAAATTAATAAAATAATTGTGATTCCTTACCTACTATTATATTTCTCAATTTAACTTTAATTTGGGTCAAATTAAAAATTCAAAAAATTTTACTTTAGTAACTGGCTAATTCTTGGGGTAAATAATAATAATTAAAGATTCAAGGTACTCTTTCAAGTTTTAATTATTTCAAGTATCGGAAAAGAAAAAGAGGAAATTTTCTAAGAATAATACTCTATCTAGTCTATATACTATTTGTGAAAATGTTTGTTTATAATTTATAAGTGCATAATTTGAAAAAATATAAAAGAAAAATTATACAAATTACAGAGTGAAAAGAAAAAGCATGAGAAAATTAAGATATGAATACATGAGATTAATAATCTTATAAATCATCAATCTATATACCATTGTGTTTGAATGCATACTCCATGAATTAATTGGCACAATTTTTGCCATTTGTCAACCTTCTCCTTTGATTCAATGTATCTTCCATCAAGACATTTGTTCCATCAAGACACTTGTTACGAAGACGAATGTTAATTTGAACGCATACTCCATGAATCGATTAGCACAATTTTTGCTATCTATCAGTCTTCTCCTTTGATTCAAAGTATTTATCTTCCATCAAGACATTTGTTAAGGAGACAAAAGTTAATTTGTAGTCCAACTGTCCTTTTGTTAAGGATACAGATGTTCTTCTATTTGTATCAGCTGTCCTTTTGCTTTAATATCTATAACATCAAAAAAGAAAAAAAAAAAAAAAAGGTTTCAATTGTCTCTTGAAGCTTGATGTTGGACGGTATTGGGCTTGGACTTTTATAGGGGGCACAAACACAAAAGATGAGAAGGTTCGGTGGATCATTTGTGATCTGAGGAGAAGATATAAACCCAGGCCTGCGGCCCAATATCGTAATTTTATTTTTATTTTAAAAAGTAATTTCTTCCTTAAATTCACTTTTCCTCGTTAGTGTTCTCCTTACTCCAAAAACCAGGAATCTGCGTTTCAACTCATCATACTAAAATGTTAAGTGGTAAAATCCGGCCTTAAAGAAATATATATGATTTAAATACAAGAAGGATTATTCCATTTATTGCAATTCCATCTATCAATTTTCACAACGAGCATGAAGCCAGGAAGAACCTGATTGGAACCAGGTAAAAAGGTCCATGGTGAATTCAAATTTCACTTCAGGTTCTAACTTCCAATTTTATGTTCGCTTGGGTGTTCTGAGCAGTTGTTGTTTTTTTTTTTTTTTTTTTCGCAAATAAAGATGAATAGCAGGACATAATAAACTAAAATGGAGAGCAGTACAACGCTCCAACTCAGATTTTCTTATTAACAATCTCTGCTATATATAGCAGAAAACAATCTTAAAACCATTCAAAAGTTTCTTATTTTGTCTAAGCAACTTTTCGGCAAAAAAAGCAACAGTAAAAGTACATCTAAAACAAGTAAAAGACAACCAATTTTGCTGCACACTTGCTGTGATTATGCAGCCACTTTGCAGCCTTTCATTTCATTTGTTGTTCATTGCAGCTTCATTTCATCAACATTTGCAGCTTAGCTTGCTGCACATTTTTGCTATCATTTGACAGCTTCATTTCCATCATATATGTAGCTAAATTGCTGCCATATTTGCTATCAAATTGCAGTTTCATTTGCTGTCAATTTTCAGCCTCATTGTTGCCATTTCATGGCAGTTTCATTTAATCTTTTTGCAGGTTTGAATGCCACATTTCTAATAATTTTTTTTTTTTTTTTTTTTTAATTTCTCTATGTGATGTAGCCTTGCAGAATCTTCTTATACTTGTTGGAATTTAAGATTGTTTAGAAGTTCAGTTTACCATTATCATTGCTATAGGTTAGGTTTCATCATCATTTTGGTTCAAACGTATTTATACATGTACATTGTAATCATAGATGAAAACTTATTGTTCTTATTAAGATAAAAAAAAGTGACAGAATGCTGAGTACAATTGAATGAAGTAGCTTTAGGACACTAATAAATTGACTACTTCCCTTGATATTTTAAGATACTTAGCAAAGCTGGATTTCACTATTTGTCTTACATGTTTAGAGGTTTAATGACAATAGGGAGACCATGTTGAGGTTGTAAAGTAATGTGGTTTGCAGGAACATGTTTGTAATCAGGGGAGAAGGAGAAAGAAAACCTTTGGAGAATCAGCGCAAGCACAGTTTTGGCTTCCAACATTGCAAAGTTCTGTCCAATACAAGCCCTCGGGCCAATTGAGAAGGCAAGCAGGGCATTTGGTGTTTAGCTGCTTTGGATATCCCATTTTTGAATCTCAAAGGATTGAACTCACTTGCATCTTCTCCCCAATATTCTTTGCTTCTGTGCATTTTGATAATCGGAATCATTACAACTGTTTTCTTTGGAATCATTAAATTCCCCAATGTCATGTCTTCTGATGCTTCTCTAACCAAGTTTATGGCTGGGCCGTATAGCCTCAGGACCTCCAGAAGAACCATGTTCACCTAACAAAGCACCTTTTAAGATCAGTTTGTTGGAAATTCACGCAACTCATCAAGAAGAAAATAATGTATGATTTCTTACTAGTTTCAGCTTGGCCAACATATCAGCATTTGGAATTCCTTTCCCGCATTCCTTCAACACCTCTTCTCTGAGTTTTGCCTACCATTCCCGATGTTTGCTCAACAAGAACATTGTCCAAGTTAAAAGGCTAGAAGTGGTCTCATGCCTTGGGGAAAAAAAATGTTCTGCTTTCTTCTATAATTTCATCCATGTTCAACTTCAAGTCTGTTTTAAGTTGACTGGCTTTTGAGGCTGCAATCATTAGACCGAGTAGATCGTCTCCAAAACAATAATCTGGAGACCTGCCAGTGGTTGTTCTAGATTTCTGTAGCCTACTTTCTATGATCTACCTCAATAATCTCTTCATTTTTCAATCAAGCTTCCATATCTGAAGATTGGATGGTGTAGGTAGATATCTAAAAGGAAACAGAAAAGAGAAAAATATACAAGTGCTTAACAATGAAGAAGTCCAAATTTAAAGAAGAAAATTAAGTTTTTAGAGTCTAATAATTACTCGTCGCCAGGGATGAAGATACTAGAATTTGTAGCAGCATACAATCTCTGTAGTTGTCTTTGTGCCTGGAACACCTCCTTTCCGTGCACATAGTTACTTCCAAAGGCAGTGTGGTCGATTATGTCAGCAGTGAGTCTTTGAAATTCTGCTAGCATTTCTATCTTTTTTCATCCATCATTAGCGATTTGGTCTTTCCTTTCTTGAAGCATGGATATGGCAGATGCTGCCATCCTCTTCACCATGAATTTTAGTTTGTCAAGGGAGAAAGTAGGATTGATTATTCTTCTGTGCCTAACCCAGTTAGTCCATCAAGTAATATCAAACCGTTCCCTGCCAGTGTTAAAAATATTGGCAAAACTCGAGGTTTCATGTGGAAGCCAAACTTTTTGGATAGTATTTGCTTGGCCAGCTTGGGATCTGGAATGAAGAAATGCAGTGCTGTTCCATGCTAATACAGAAAAGTCTCTCTTGTGACATCAAAATTGAATATCAATCCCGAGTGTTGACAAAAAGTGTATAAAGGTAACTAGTCAAGCTAAAGATCTAGATACCCTCGTTACCCAAAACAATATAGAAAGGAAAACAGAGAAAGAAACTAACCATATTCTGAGGACCATCTATGGTATTGAGGGAGGACTCTTTGAACAATATCATTTGAATTTGTGTCAAGAATCATTTCTCTTGCTTCCATCTTCATTTTCTTTATCTCATCAAGGGAGCCAGAAATAATTCTTCTAGGTGGTCCAGTGATTCCTTGCTTCTTGAGTCTTTTAGTCAAGGAATATGGTTGTCAGAAAACAGTCTATAGAACTTACAGAAGCTTCAAGACTAGGAATGGGATCATCAATGTTGTCATGGCAAAGGTAACGGAACCCATTTTGAGATGGCTAATACTTTCCTGGATATCGTAGTTATGGTGGTGTTGAGAAGAACAAGGTGTCAACTGAGCATAGCGGAAACAAAAGCAACATCAAAATCTTCCCCAATTTATTCGAAATTGTTAGAAGCAACCTAAATTGAGTCCAAATAAATTATGGCAGTAGCTAAAAATATGCAAAATAGTAAAAATAGCTAAGGCAAAGCAACCATCACAAGAGACACAATATTTTTCTATGGAAACCCCAAAAATGAATAAAAACCACGAGACATCTAGTTCACTGAAAATAACTCCACTATAATAAAAAAGAGTACACAATATCATCTTCTAAAAAGGCACAAAAACAATACCAAATAAGGGTAACAACAAACCACAAAACCAATAAAGAAAATGGAATCACAAAGAAAAACAGTCACTAAAATGAGCTACTGATATTGTTCAAGACACAAAAACTAAACCTACCAAACTTCAAATGAAAAATTGACCATTTAGAATGTAGATCAATGTATTGTGAATCTCCAAACAAAATTTTAACTCAATCTAACAATGAACTTTTGCGGATCACAAAGCTACAAAACAGTGCACTGTACCAAATCTACAAAATTCTCCCCTGCTTTCTTCCCCTTTCTGCCGGTTGGTCCACTCATGTCTTCTCCACTTTCTACTGTCCAAATCAGATTTCTTTTTTTGTCTTAAGGGGCTACAGAATATGGTTTCAAGTGGGCTTAGGGCTTAGTCCACAAATATTGGTCATTTCTCCACGTAGGAGGAATAGGCCTAAACCCAACAGGTGGAATTGCTTTTGTAGACACAAGGGGTGAAGAATAATGCTTGTCCAAATATGAAGTCACTCTTGAGGAAGGAGAATGGTACCTTCGGGTTGTTTTGAATTGTGTCTGTCATCTAGCTAGTCACTATCATTTTGGAGGATCCAAAGCATTTCACTTAAGGATAACAATTTCCTCTTAAATCCACGGAGCTCTATAGGGATCTTTACTATAGAGATGGAGATTTCAAAAATACTGCTCCACATGGGGCAGGGTTGGAGGCATTTTTTTATTTGTAAAATTTTCTTCACTTCATGTGAACTCATGAGAATCTATATATAATAAAAAATATACAAATATATATATATATATTCTTTACCAAAATATATATATTTATAAATATATTACTAATTAATTTTTAGTCATTTTAATTCAATTAGCTAACCCAACTCAACTTAAATTGTCCAGGCCCAACCCAATTCCTTGTTGTATCTTCACAAACCCAATTTAATACAATAAGTAAATGGCAAATTGCAAATTACAATTGCCAACTGTAAGTTCGCAACTAATTGCCAATTGCAAGTTGCAGTTTATGCTTCTTTTTTTCTATGAACATATTGCTAGAGCTGGAGTCCTAGACATGTATGGCAATATATATTTGCTTCTTGCAACTAGACATTGCTTTGTTGGACTATATGTGTAATGTATTTATTTATTTGACTTGTTTTAAATTTTTATTTTTTTTAATTTACAGGAAAAAATATTAAATTTTATATATTTGATAGTTGACGAGAACTCTGTTTACTTGCAAGAACCTATCATCCCCAGTAAATATGAAGATGAAGATTATTTTTGGTTCCTAATCATAAATTCCCGTGAAGATCCTTATACTCGTTATTGACAAAAATGGAGATGGAGATGAAGATGGAGATGGAGATGGAGAGGAGCCATTGCCATCTCCAATTTCGCTTTCCTGTCCATAGAAATTCCAGTCGGATCCGACTCTAATTCAACTTTTAAACGCATTACGTACTTTTCATGAGCCTGTTAGTGCGGCACTTACTAGTTTTCAAGAGGTGAATTTCCATTTTGAGAATTCCGTGGAGATTACAATGCGTCATAATGTCAAACCATATCATAGTGATTGTATGATTAGAAAAATGGCAGCAGCTCAAGAACCAGAACAAGAAAAGAAAATGTAGGTCTTTTTCGTTTTGCCCATAAAGGAAAGTTCAAATAAGAAGGAAACAAAAAATTCCGCCCCCCTTTCTAAACATATTTATACAATGGAACAATTTAAAATATCATTAATAAAACTTTTCTCTAAAATAAATCACTAGTAATATTTTAATACACTAATAAAACTCAAAATAGAATTTAAAATGTTTTTTATTAAAAAAAATCAACCATA